GTGCGAGTTTCTGCTACTTTACTCACTCGTGGATCGTATAGGCGAGTGTCTGCTACTTTACTCGCGGCCGGTACTCTGAAATAAAATCTGCAACATACAACTTGTAAACGTTAATACCAATTGTCAGATCAAGATGTGTTCGCGAACAGTGATGATTAGACATGTTCGCGAACAGTGATGAACGCGAACAATTCGCGAACAATTCGCGAACAAATCGCGAACAATCTGCGAACAGAACGCGTTCAGTGTTCGCGTTCTGTTCGTGAAATTTTCGCGAAAAAGGTACACGTGATTCTAGGCGGTACTGTACCTATCTTAGCACAACCGAACTATATACGAACTTATGCAGGCTCTGAAAGTACTAAGGTCTCGTCTAAGGAACGCGAACAGAGTTCTTCTGAGGAAAAGCCGACGAATGGAAGAGCGGAGAAGAAAAAAGACTCTGTGTTTACAGCCTGTCATGTGACTATCAAAGTGAGACCGGCTTGCTTATGATCAATTTTTTCATAATATTTATGCTGAGTACACTGGGTTTTTTTTAATTATTTTTTATTCCAGGAAGTATTTTTTGCTTTACGCCTTTTGATAGTATGACTATTAACTTTATTAAGGTTCAATATAGTCCAATTCTTCTCAATTCTTCGACTACAACACTCATTGTTGTCACTTCATCGTTTTGATATATTCAAGCAGAACCCCGAGTTCACGCAGCCATGCGTCTAGTTTTTATATTATCGATTTTTATCGATCGACTACCGAGTAAGCTTATCTACAATGTCCCTTTGAGAAACACGACCAATATCATTCAAAATTCACTTCTATGAAATAGAAAACCTATAATATACTTAAAAAAAACACTAAATACCTAAGCATTCTGTTTAATTTTAGCCTTTTGCCGATTAAAACAAGGTTTATCACGAAATAAGATTGTCCAAGAGCGGCCAAAAATGGCGGCAATCATTCATGAATGGAATTTGGTGTCATGCACATCTTTAAAACACTGAAAAATACATTTTCCATGTCAGACTTACCTTCATTAATAGCCACGGTCTATATAAGATACAAATTTCAATGAAAAGCTTTCAAAAGACTTTGGATAAGAACCATTTCGTGCAATATGCCTTGCTTTTCTCGAAGACTCGCCTACATAACACAACACCACGATGAACGATCCACCCATCACCACTTGCGATCGCTACCACAGGAAGACCAAAGTTTACGCAGTCAGCCCAGACGGGAGTACAAGTTGTTGTTGCTGTTTTATTATTATTATTTTTTTTTTTTTTTTTTTTTTTTTTTTTTTTTTTTTTTTTTTTTTTTTTTTTTTTTGTTTTTTTTTTTTTTTTTTTTTTTTTTTTTTTTTTTTTTTTTTTGCTTGTTTTTTTGCTTGTTTTTGTTTTTGTTTGGAGTTTTTTTTAGCTTCTCAATCAAACTCTCGAAGCGCCCCAATCCCCTTCGAGAGAGCTGATTGATACTCAGGCGAAATATAATGATATGATAAAATCTTTCAATAGGACTTTTTGAGCAATTGGATCTGGCTAGCACAAAATTAGTTAACGGACAGAAATTGTCAAACTTTGTATTATAAACTCTCGTCATATGGGTTGTTTTGTGTTTAATTTGCGACAAATGGAAATGACGGCCTCTATTTTACGTTTATGTATTATATTATCCTTATGGACAGCGGAATACCCGCGTGTATACCTCGCAACACGCCTTTGGGTGGGTGGGTCGGGCTCGAACATGTGTCGCCAGCGTCGTAGATGAGACTGACACAATGCCCTTGTGGTTGCTTATATATATGCATAATGGTGCATGATGGGATATTTAGTAAATAAACCCCTTCTGGCGGCTGGGATATCGGCTGATAATGTCCGAGGATGAGAAATGGTCCGAAAAATTGACCGACAAGCGAAGCTTCGAAGTTTATTTCTAATAGCACTGCGCGGATATACTAAAAATAGATTTGAGAGATTAGACTCCCCACGGAGATTCGGACAAACAAGAGGTCAACTTTGTAGTGAATGTATGTGGCATGTGCTAAAACATGGACTGGACTTTGGACTTATAAGTATATAGGGAAATCTAGAAAACTAGACATTGGAAATGATTCGCAAAAATAGAAGGGAATACAGATAGAAACAAAAAGGAACAAAGAAACCAAAATTACAGCCAAAATGTTACACATTACCTTA